AACTAACCAGCCGAGATAAGTTCAGAGGCAAAAAGAAGACTCACATCATGACGGAGATGACCGGGGCGATGAAGACGACGTAGGACCCCAAAAATGTCAGGAACGTCTGTGCCGACGCCTGCAGTTTCCAGGGCACCACAGCAAGGCTGATCACTGCGCAAAAGACCTGGCCACGCGGGATACTAAAGTTGATGGCGGTTAGCAAGGTTATGGAATAGCATTCGTCACAGCGGAGCCGAGAGAGACTCACTTGAAGTATTTGGGGAACAAGCCTGTCAAGTCGGCGCCAACGGGCAAGCAGTTTGACGCCAGATTGGTTGCCATGACCGCGAGGGCCTGGATGAGACAGACCAGGAAGATGGCCGTTCGCGCTCCGGCATTCCAGTTGTGGTCCAAGATGGCGCCCAGGAGGTCCCACATGTTCCAGTACGCAGTGCCCCAGAGGTTCAGCGAGGCGCTCGAGCACGCGATGCCCATGAAGATGACAAACGTCTTGCTGGTGAAGATACCCGCAGCCTGGGCCCACGCGGCGTCCGAGGGCTTTTTGGCGTATCTGGCGAGATCCGCGTTGGACATGATCTCGGGCGAGATGCTTCCACTGACAGAGTTGATGCCGTTCATGAACGCCCAGCCGAGCGCCGTGGTCGTGGTGGTCTTGGTGATCTCCGACGAGCCCGTCAAACCTCCGTTCTTGCCCACCACGTACCCGAAAACCGCGATCAGCACAGGAGGGGCGATCACGCTCTTGATGGTGTAGAGCCACTTGGCGCGCTGGGGATGGATCAGCATGAAGGGCAGCTGTACGGCCCAGTAGAGGAAGAATGCGGCGAGGCCTCGAGTGGTGATGCCGGCGCTTTCGGGGAGGTGGTTCGGAATGTCCTGCCAGTTGTGGCCGAATGCACACCGAAGCATCACGTCAAACAGCTTCCCCGCGTAGAATGTCTGGGTCGCAAAGTAGATGATGGCGACGCAGCCTCGGAGGAAGATGAACCACAGAGATCCAAACATGCCGGCACTGGCGCGCACAAAAGCCGGATATCCAATGTGGTAGACAGCGGGTCCACGAGATTGAATGACCAAGACGATCGAGCACATCAGGTTTCCCACCGCGATGGAGAGTAGGGCCTGCCACCATTTCTGCCTTGATGTTAGCATTTTCATAATGAATGGTCCGTTGGCTACACAACTCACCAATCCCTGATTGACCAGACTTGATCCCGTATTCCATTGATTCGGGTTGAAGGAAACCGCCCAGAAAAACATGAAGTAATTCCAATGTCGCCATGTTCTTTGCTGGACACTGTATGGTATATCAGCAACACGAGCCGTCAGAGTCAGGAGCACAACATACGGCGTCGGGTCGAGATCTTCATTCCCCCATTTCCTCGTGCCTTCAGCCTTCTGGATCCTACTGTCCTGAGTCTGGATCCGCTGATCGACTCGGCGTAGGAAAGATTTGATGGTCATATTTGGAGAGGCTATCCAGAATGAGTCTTCTCTCAGACACTTTGGGAGTTAGCGACAAACGTTCTTGTCAGAGCCGCCACGAGCCAGCATGGAGCGACGCGTGGGATATAGTTATAGCTGCAATTCAAAGGCCCGACATCTATTCGACTGTGAGGTCCTTTGATATCAACGAGCCAAGGTCAAATATGGCAGAGACGGGAAATCCGATGGCTCAGTCATCGGGCCCAGAATTGGCTGTTTAGCAAGGCTGGGCTGCTCCCAAGACCATCATTTTTATTCTGTTCAGAGATAACATACACAGATGAGTTGTATTTCTTATCTTCGACAAAGATGCGCGATGGTCATTGTTGGTTAGTACTTGGTCCCTGGTGCTCGACATATCGGCTGATAGAGTAAGACCACAAGTACCAACCCAGGCAAGCCGGGGTGTTCGGCACATCCGCCATATATTGATTAGCCTTTAGAAATAGCATTACTCGGGACTTTGACGCTTTTCATCGGAGCCTCGCAGTGAAGGCGATAAGGGCGCGTGAAATGAGCCAATGGCCGTGAGCACGCGGTGGCGGATATTCGACTGGTTAGTTGGGGGATTCTACGACTGGCTTTAGAAAAGGGCGGACTTCTCCTGTGGTGCTGGACCAGCTGCCCGAGCGATACATAGCGTCCGTCCGGATTCTCATATCCGGGGCATGGGAAGAATCAACGATAATAATTGTTGGCTTCTCCCACCTTAAGAAAAGTCAAGAAGCTCTTATCAAGGTTTGGTGAGAACCGCTCACACGTGACAGGGCTGTCCTAATCAGACAAGATGCCAACGATAAGGGTGGGCTAGTCTCTCGGGATACCTGCCGGATGAGCATCTCAAGCCTATCGAGGCTGACTTGGTCGGAAGCACTGATCGAGCTAGGTAAACATGATGGTCCTGGTATCTTCTCAGGCCCTTGTTCGGCGGGTAATCACTGTGTTTCGACTCCTGTATGATCACCAGGAACATCATGTCTACGAGTACCGAGTGAACCTCGTCGTGCACGAAATGCCACGAGAAGATTGTCAGGAAGACCAAAGAACCCGGCCTTGATCTCACGGGGGTGTCACCGGCAACAAACTTAGCTTCAATCGGAGTGGTCCTGCTGAGCGTGACAGATGAAAACAGTATGCATGCAGTACAGCATTTCAGTCCCCAAGACGATGACGTGCAAGAGCGACCGGCCAAACGACGAGCACGAAGCGCCGTTGCTTGCCAGCGATGCAAAGGACGCAAACAACGCTGCGACAATGAATTTCCATCTTGTTCCAACTGCCTCTCTGCTGGCGAGCCTTGCTCCTACGGCGTGAAGCAAGTCTACCCGTCAGAGTATGTGAGGTCGCTGGAGAACCACATTGCTCATCTCGAGCAATCGCTGACCACCGTCGATCCCAAATTGGCAGCAGACCATCTCGCCAACATGAATGAGGCAGCAGCTGCCAGATCCTCAAGGGTGTCTGTCGAGCCGCGAGGCCCCGATGACAGAGAGGAGAACTCGGAACCGAGCCTCGAACTGGGAGTGGGCTTCGTCGCGCTGTCGCCAAACTCTTATCTGGGCACATCCAGTGGATTTCAGCTGGCTAAGCTCGTCAAATCCGCAATGAATGTGCCAAATCTGGGATCGAATTCACGAGACCTATGTCCTCGGCCAGAGCGTCTTGCTACCTCTGAGGATTCGAGGCAGCCGCCGGCATCATCCGAGAATGCTGTTTTCGCCGAGATGCCCACGGACGAAATGGGAGAGGAACTCACCAGCACTTATCTACTCAAGGTGTACCCCAAGCACCCGTTCTTGTCCAAGAAGAGGGTTCATGCTCTGAACAGAGATCGCGCAAGTCTGATGTCAGCTCATCAATCGCAGTCTAAAGAGGCCCGGTCTAGACGACTTGATTATGCAATTTTACATCTGGTTTATGCCATTGGGGCCAGGTATCTGCAGTTGGCCGACGACAATTCCTATCCGTCACCCGAGGTTCGTACACCCGAGGAGATTCTGGAGCCTGAGCGAGCAGTTCTAATATCAGCAGTCTCATTACGCCGCTGCCTTGACAGAGATTGACATAATCTCAGATGTGCGAAGCCTGGAGAACTTGGAGGCTATGCTTCTACTGTCTATCTACCAGTTGAGATCGCCCACTGGTCCGGGTGTATGGTATGGAAACCGCCCGTTCTATTTCTTTGTTGGAGACTGACTTTTCACAGGTGGATGATAGGCACAACAATGCGACATTGCCTCGACTGTGGTCTACATCGGAAAACCAACAACCTATCCAACCTGGTCGACCAACGACGTAAGCGCATATTCTGGACGGCCTACATGTTGGAAAGGTCTGTCGCCAGGACTGTCGGCCGACCGTACTCGGTTTCGGACAGGGATATCGACGTCGCCTTGCCAGCAAACATTGAAGACTCGTACGAATCGGAGGAAGAGATCACGGCCGCCATTGCTCAGTCGTTGGCCCATCCACACGGCATCACCTCCTTGACACCAGCCATCCACATTATCAGGATCCAGCAGCTCGAATCCAAAATTTGCCACACCGTTTGTCGGGTGGATAAGCCGGTGTCCGAAATCAATCCGCACAAGATCGCCAAACTTCGTAATGCCCTCGAGGAGTGGAAGGCTGCCATCCCGTACGTCTCACATCCGGAAAAGGAAGGGAAGCTCCCTTACAGCACCACCGACTACCACATGATACAGTACCACAAGGCGTTGGTGCTTCTATTCCTGCCTTTACTTCCGTCTCTGTCTCCATCACATCCGGACTTTCGCCTGTTCGCCTACTCGGCTGGGCAAATTTGTCAGATGTACAAAAGACTACACAATAACCAGTCGTATATTTCGTTCTCGCTGCTCGCCCTGCACGCCAACTTTGTCGCAGGTCTCGCGCTGGTGTACTGCTTCTGTCTTGACCCGACACTCTTTGATGCGAACTTTAGCAGCGACATCCGCGCCTGCAGCACCATGCTGTACGCCATCTCTGAACGGTGGCCTGCGGCTCGTAAAGTTCGCAACGCCTTTGAAAGTCTCGTCTCGGCCACGATCGAGGGGAACCACGGCCCCTTTTCGGCGTCGACGTCGGTATCTGGCCGGACGAGCCGGATCTCTGGGAGAATGACTCAGGGACAGCATGCGGCGGTTGCAGGAGGGGAGTCGCTTCTAGGACACAATGGAGACAACAATAACAACAACGGCGGCAACCGATACGCTGAAAACAGAGTTCAGGACAGTGTATGGAACAGCTTTGAGACGGTGCTGGAGGATTATCAGATCAATGAGACGTGGATGTACGATGGCATCATTCAAGCCATGGACACGTTTCCCACGGACGGCTGGACCATGTGGGGAGACTTTTGATTTTTATTTGTCAAGGGGGAGGTGTACATAACCCGTCCCTTTCATATAACAACCATATCCAGCTGCCCGAAGCAGAATAAGAGCCAACCAGAATATCTCACCGGGAAGAATGACTGTCAAGTGGTTTCCTTTTTTCTGTTCGGCAACACATCAGTCCTTCACAGACGCGGGTTGATAGGGAAACCGCCGTCTCCAGTGCTCCGCGATCTCTGCCCGCGTACACACCCACACGTCCGGCTTGGAGGCGATATAGCTCAAAAACCGCTGGAACTGCCTGGCGCGGGCGGGCTTGCCGACGATGCGCGCGTGGATGCCGATCGACATCATCTTGCCGCCCTCTTCGTAGAGCATGTCGAACGCGTCGACGAGGTACTGGTAGAAGGAGGCGCCGCCGAACCCGTCGGCCGCGAAGTGGAATTTCATGTCGTTGCAGTCGTACGAGTAGGGGACGTGGAGGAGGCCCTCTTTGGGCTTGTCGCCTTTTCCTTGGAGGTGGTGGAGTTCTTCCTGCACCCTCGCCAATTCAGGGGGGAGATCCGTCCAGACGGGCACGTCGTCGGCGTAAAAGTCGCTCTGCCACTTCAGCTGCAGGCCCATCTCGGCAAACGCCTCCCACACCACGCCGACGCTGTTCGGGCTGATCCGCCCGACGTACCAGCCCGCGGGGTCCACGCCGGCGGTGTCTTGGATCGCCCTGATCGCGCGCTTGACCTTGTCCTTTTCTTCCTCGGGCGACATGTTGCGACAGTCGATCCAGCGGTACCCGTGGCCGGCGATCTCGTGGCCCGCGGCGACGCACGCCTTGGCCACACTCGGGTTCATCTCCAGCGCCTGGCCCACGGCAAGCAGCGTGAAGGGGTGCGAGTGCTCGGCGAAGATGCGCAGTAGGCGCCAGATGCCCGCGCGCGCGCCGTACGCGTACTCGGACTCGACGTTGGGTTGGCGGGCGTTGACGAAGGCGGGACCACCGGCTATAGATGGAGACAAGAGACAAACACGATGATGGTCAGCAAGTAGTCCCGGTGATAACGGGGTGTCCCTTGTGCTTCTCAGAGAAAAAATAGACTGTTTCCCATACTATCCAGGACTATGGCGATTTGGTTGGGGGAGGATTTTGAGTTAAAATACCTTTTTCCCAGTTCAGGGTCTCTGATTGAACATCTCCGTTCAACACGGTCGACTCGGCGCCTTCTCTAAACAGGATCAGGGCCTTAGTTTTCTTTCGAGACCAGCATTTCATTTCATTTCATTTTCCGCGGACAGAAAAAGACCACAGGTAAGTGAAGCCCACAAAAGGGTGTCCTGTTGAAAAACCACTGTATATCTGAGGATCATAGACAGAAAAATGTCGGGTCCCCTGGCCCCATTCTCTTCCAACGGAAGCCCCCTTTTGCGGTCCCGCCGCCAAAACCCGCGAAATGTGCTCCAAAGATCGAAAACGGAACACGACTTACTTACTCGTAGTTGACACAGATGCTGACCGCGATGCGCGCTCCGCCGGGCCACTCGGCATTTCGCCCCTGTTGGCCGTACCCGACCAGGTCACGGTCGAACGAGTATTTCTTGTCCTCGATCACCATTTCTGACTTGCAAGGCTTGCGAGGTTGTGTAGAGTGTAGAGTGTCGAGTGTACCGACCGGCAAGCGTTGGCCGTGTAGTGTATACTGACTTATGCCAGGGTTACCGAGAGTGTGAAGAGGAAGACCTCCGTCAAGAGAGTTGGAAGTCGGACGTCAGTATTTGGTACTGGGAACGCCTATAGTCGATAGGCTGGCAGTGTGTATCCCGGACTTATACCCAGATTGGCGCGTATGTTGTACGTATGTATCTTAGTTAATCGCCAATAAACAAACATCAAAGGGTCCACAAGGTCAAGGAATTTTTCCATTCAACCATCCGACATACAACAGTCAATGTCCAACTTTTGACTTTGTGCTTTGCCATGGTCTGCCCGGGATATCATATCCATCACGCCCACATCTCTCGGTTGGTGGGTGGACATGTCCCGAAAAGTCAGTTTACGGAGAACGGCTCTCGCCGATAACAATGCGGCGGGAATTCCGATGTGTGATGGTAATGCATAATGCCACTAATAATGCCAATGGCCCTTGCCCTGAGCGTTTAGGTAAGCGGCCACTGCGGATTGAGCTTCTTGGGCTTGGGATAGGGACATGGAGATGCACGATACTGAGGAGAGAGTAATGAGCAACTACCTGTATCTATCTATATTTGAGTTTCGAAGAAGGACAATTAATACAGGCCTTTTCTACATTCGGATCATGTACATTGCCAAGATTTAGAATAGGCTCATTCATCAAGAGATAGACCTTTTGGTGGATTGATTGATTGATTGATTATACATACGGGTTACCATCGAAGGACCTACCAAGCACAATCCAATAACTATTCAAAAGATTCAACATGATCATGCCAACGACGACAACACCGGAACCCGCGTACCTCGACATCAGCCGTCGCAAGCTGGCCGAGCGAGACAGCAAGATTCCCCCAGAGTGGAAGATCTCGCTTCCCGAAGACGACGACAATCTGCTCCATCTTCCCCGGTCTTGCTCGTTGCTCTCGCCGCGCGAGCTGGAGATTACCGAAGAGTATGACTCTGTGGGCTTGTTGGAGAAGATCCATGCGAGGGAATATACCAGTGTGGAGGTGACGAGGGCATTTTGTAAAGTAAGTTAATCGCAGAGGTAGTTCTACGAGGACGAAGGAGAGTGATTCATGGACCGTGGGTATTGTGAGATGAGGTGTGGTATCAGGACTCGAAAGATGTCCCTTGCCCTGTGACTGAGAGAGAGAGAGAGAGAGAGAGAGTTCGGGTTTATGTCCATTCTGGCTAACCATCTCGGCCCTTTTTGTGACAAAAACAGAGAGCCGCCATCGCCCAACAAGCCCTGAACTGCCTCACGGAAATCTTCTTCGACCAGGCCCTCGACCGCGCCGCCTTCCTCGACGACCACATCCACCGCACAGGAAGACCCCTGGGCCCACTCCACGGCCTCCCGATTGCCCTGAAAGACAGCATCAATGTTTCGGGCGTGGACTCGACCATCGGCATGGCCGCCCTTGCATTCAAACCCGTCCCGCGCAACTCGGTCATCGTCGACATGCTCCTGTCGCTCGGGGCGGTCATGTACGTTAAGACCAACGTCCCGCAGTCTATGATGACGCCCGACACGGAGAACTTTGTCTTTGGGCAGTCGCGGAATGCTCGGTCAAAGCATCTCACGGCCGCGGGCAGTTCGGGCGGGTTGGGTGCGTTGCTTGGGATCCGGGGCGCCTTGATGGGCATCGGGACCGATGTTGGAGGATCGGTGAGGTAGGTCCCATTCGTCCCAGTCGTTTCTTCACGAGAAAAAGGTCTCCTGACCCTCGTTTGTCCCAGAATCCCAGCTTATTGCAACGGCGTCTATGCGGTAAAACCGTCTTCCGGTCGTCTCCCATACCACAGGCTCCAGGGGTATTTGACCGAAGGGGCGGAGACGGTCGGTATTCTGTGTGTCAACGGCGTCCTGGCGGTGTCGATGAGAGATTGCGAGCTTCTTCTCCGCGCGATATCCGATGCAGAGCCCTGGCTTTACGATCCTGGATGTAGCTATTTGCCCTGGGACTCGCAACCACTGCCCGAGCAGCCTCTCGTGTTTGGTGTCATCTGGGAAGACCACGAAACCACGCCTTTGCCGCCTCTCCTCCGAATTCTCAGGGAGACCTGCGACAAGCTGCGGGCAGCCGGCCATGAAGTCGTGGACATGGAGTTCTACAAGTGTGCCGAGCTCGCCAAAAACGCTGTGGGACACTTCAAGCTCGAGGGTGGAAAGGTACATTTTCCCCCCAGTTTCGTCAGTGTAGGTGGGGGTGCGATGCTAATATGAGAGGGGAAAAAAAAAGGCGCTGGACGCAGCGAGAAACCTCACAGGCGAGCCATACACAGATTCGGTCCAACAAGGTGGCCTCTACCCCTGCGACGAAGGCACGTTGGCGGACCTCTTCGCGCTGAGTGCGGAGAGACTGCAACTCCAGACCGACTGGCTGGAATACTGGGCGTCGACAGCGACAAAGACCCGCTCCGGTCGACCCGTCGATGTCATCCTCACTCCTCCCCAGAGCTGTCTGCCGCGGCCGCACGACACGCTGATCCGGAGCCACTTTTCGCGCATCTGGAACGTCCTCGACTATCCTGCCGCCATTGTGCAGTGTGGCGCGGTGGACTTGAGTAGAGACGACGTCGAGTTGCCTCCTCCGCGAGGACCGATGGATGAGAGGGTGCAGTCTATATGTAAGTTGCCGGTGTTTCTAGAACTTCTTTATATTCTCGCTCCTGTGGGCTCTATGACTTCTGTCTACCAAAAATCTGACCATGGAGACAGACACGAAAGAGAAACGCCGGCGGTACGAGGGCTTTCCTATCGGCTTGCAGGTGGTTGGGCGACGTCAGATGGAAGCCAAACTGGTCAAAGTGGCGTCACTTGTCGAGAAACTGGCTCGATAACGTGGTTGAGTCACTGGCTTCTACCATGACTATGCGATGGTCTTGTTATATCAAGATATGCGCTCATTCCTGACGAGTTTCTCGGAGAAGGGATGCCATGGGCTCTTACGAACGAACACCTTGATCAAGCCTGCCGTCTCATATATGTGTAGGCTGCAAATATCGCACTTTCCCACTCCACACTTGCTCTGCTTAACTTCTTCTCCCTCTTCGCTCTCGCTCCCGTTCTGGGTCTTGAAGTCGGGAATCCATGGTGTACAACAAACAACACACACAGCGATTAATCAACACAAGTCTTCAGCCGAGAAAGAAACGAGGGATTGATATCGAGGGCGGACAAGCTGAATGTGTATTTTGGAATAAGCCACTTTCTATTTTGTATCTATCAGGCAAGTTCTTGGTCAGATCGTTACGTTTTCCACTTCACTCCTTATTTTGTATGTACTTCTCTCTCTGCGTCAAAGCCATGCCCATCTCATCACTGTATTGGATATCAATACGGAGGCGGAGCACACCCCGCCGCTGCGGGATCCGGCCCCGGATGCAGACAATTATCCCGCTGCGCCTCGGGCACGGTGACGCTGAGTATGACCCTCTGCAACAGCTCGGGCCAGTTCCTGTAGAGCACGTTGGGCATGTCGTTGGGCGCGAACCCGTGGCAGGGGATGCCCGTGGCGTTCTCGCCCGTCGTCACGTTCTGGTCCACCATGTTCGCGCACAGGTTGACCTGCGGCAAGCTGGGCCGGCCGAGGGACGCGTTGACCGTGGTGATGTTGACGTCGATGAACTTCAGGCCCGGGCACGGCACGAGCGGCGAGCAGTGGATGATGGAGGCGACGTCGAAGTGCGACGTACCCGTGATGTTTTGCCAGGTTACGTCGGAGATTTGGAGCTATTTGTACACACGCGTTTTAGTGTGTTAGATCATGGATACTCCAGTATTGTAGACAGGTCAATCTAGACAAGAGGGAGGTTGTATAGGGTTAAAGAAGAAGAAGTGTCCCCTCCATTTTTTTTTTCTTTTGAGAGAAGAGAGGGAGGGAGGGACTAGGAGAAGGGGCAAACAAGTGGACAAAAACTCACCTCGCTCGTATCACACACGCTCGGATCATGTCCGTAGACACACTGCGTGATACTGATCGGCTGACCGACGTTTTCGAGCACAAAATTCCGAAAAGTGACGTTCTTGATGAACCCTCCGCCTCCGCCGCCGCTACCGCCGTTGTTCGTCACGGCCTGCGACCGGCCCTGCCACGCCTTGATCCACGCACCGTTGGTCGAGTTGATCAGGTGCACGTCCTCGTAGACGATGTCCTGCACGAAGTCCGGGTGGCCGGGCTGTTGGCCGACGGAGCCGATGGGCATGCCGTGCGTGCGGTAGCAGGTGATGTTGCGGGAGACGATGTTGGTGCTGTTGCCCTTGATGGCGATGCAGTCGTCGCCTAGACGCGGAGGTCAGCTGGGCAGGGAGGGAG